GGCCCGGTCCGGGAGGGGTGGGGCCGGAGGGCGTCCGAGGCCCCGCCCCCCGCGCTATTTCCGCGCCCGCCGCCGCCCGTCGGTGACTCAGAGCGCTCGGGCAAGGGATCGGAGCGCATCGCTTGGGCTGCTCTCGTCGGCGCGCCTTTGGGAACCCGCGTCCAGCGCTCTCGCTCTCTCTCGCCCGCTCGCTCGCCCGGGCCAGCAGGATGGAGACCCCGGGGGTTCAAGGGAAGCGGAGCACCCGGAGCGGGGCCGGCTCCTCGACGACGACCCCGCTCTCGCCGGCGCGGATCACCCGGCTGCAGGAGAAGGAGGAGCTGCAGGAGCTCAACGACCGCCTGGCCATCTACATCGACAAGGTGCGCTCGCTGGAGTCGGAGAACGCCGGCCTGCGCCTCCGCATCACCGAGTCCGAGGAGGAGGTGAGCCGCGAGGTGACCGGCATCAAGGCCGCCTACGAGGCCGAGCTGGCCGACGCCCGCAAGACCCTCGACTCGGTGGCCAAGGAGCGCGCCCGCCTCCAGCTGGAGCTCAGCAAAGTCCGCGAGGAGCACAAGGAGCTCAAGGCCAGGTGAGCGGGGACCTTTGGGTGCTGGCCGGCTAGAGGAGACCCCGCGGGGGGGATCCCACCTCTGGGATCGAGGCCTTCAGGGAACGCCAGGGCGGAGCCGGGGCCCGGGCCAGTGCGCTCCGGCCGGCTGGGAAAGGGCAGCCTCGTCCCCGCAGAGGGAGGGGGCCCGTTGGGCGGCCGGCCGACTGACCAGCCGTGCGTGGGACACCCCCCCCTCTGTGTCTCTTTCCCGGCTGGTGGTCTTGCCTAGCGGTCTCTCCCTCCTCCCCCCCGCGGGGCCTGGGACGCCCTTGGCATTCCCAGGAATGAAGGCGCCCGGCAGGGCTTGGCCACTTGCCCAGCGGAGGCAGGGAAATGCTGGGACCGGCCCTTGGTTTGGATTGGGGGGGGAGAACTACCACTCCCAGAATTCTCCAGGAGGAGGAGGAGGAGGCTTCTGGGCGTTGTAGGCCAGGGTGGGGAGCCCAACTCTTTCCCTGCTCCGACTCTGGGCCCCCAAGGGGTGCAAGAGCAGAGGTGGGGAAGGGAAGCGCCTCCTCCCACCTCTGGAGGCAGAGGCCCCTTCCGAGCAGGGAAGAAAAGCTATTTTCGGTGGCGGACAGCTGCCCGGAGCTCCTGGTCTGGGACCCCCCCTCCTGGCCTCGGTTGTGGGGGTGGGATGGGGGGGCGCCGCAGCCCGAATGATGGCTCAGTCGGCGAGACTTTCTGCCGTGCCAGAAAATGGAGGGCCCTAAGCCATCTCCCGTTGCAGGGGCCACTGGGAGAGCCTCGGTTGGCACAGCACCCCGTTCTGTCTTGGCTGTGAGGGGCTGCTGGAAAGCACACAAGACAATGTGTGCAGGATGCGTCACGTGTGAGACTCCAGGGTCTCACAAGGTTCCTGGCCCTTCCTGGGTGCTTTCTTTCCCCCTTTGGCTTCTTGGGTTTTGGGGGGGGGGAGCTGGGAAAAATGCACCCTCCACAGATCTCCTGTGGGGGACTCGGGGCACCTCAAGCCCTGGTTGTGGGGTAAATAGCCCGATTATTTAGGGTTTTGCTCCAGTGGGAGAGGAGAAGCGTGCCGACCCATCTGGTTAGTACCCTTCGCTTCCGGGAGTTGTTTGGGCTTTCCTGATGGTCCGAGTTTTGAAATATCTGCTGCAGGGCAATGCATACTTGTGCGTTTGCACTCTGACATCCAGAATCCCCCCCCCCAAACCAGGAGAGAATTATGGGAATGGAAGTCCAGGCGTCTCTATCCCCAAGGACAGCTGTCAGATCCCATTTTAAGGCGGTGGCTCCTCCTTCCTTTGGGCTTCTGATATTTGCAGTTTGCTGAAGGGAAGG